ATAGCAACAGGCAACAATAATAAATGCCACTATTCCACCTCCGATTAACCAATAAACTAGTTTATTGGGATTTTTATCTTGATTAGCAAGTGTAGTTGACTGATTTTCTAATTGACTCAGGGCTTCTTTTATTGCCTTTTCATACTTTTGGCTAATTTTTTGCTTAAAGCAGTTTTCCTCTTTCAAAAATTGCAGAAGTTTCAGTTTGATAACTAATTTGTCCGAATTGGTGGTAACTTTTTTAACTTGCGCTAATAAATTATTCAATTCTTTTTCAGCTTTCTTTTCCCCGACATCATTTTTGACTTTTTCTCTAATTTGGTTAACTTGTTCGGGTGTTTGGGCTTGGTTTAGTTGCTTTTCATAATCTTTATTTTCTTGGTCTAATTCGTCAGTTTTCAGCGAATTATCACCATTATTTAACTCATTATTAATATCTGCAATCGCACCTTTTTTATACTTGTTTAAATCTAACTGACCTAATTTGGTTTCTAAGGCTGAGATTTGGGTTTGTTTAGCTTGATAATGAGGCAAATGACTACAAGCTCTAATTTTCTTAATTAATTCTTCTAATTTTTCATAAATGCTGGTTTGTTCAGCTTGACTTATTAGTTCATCCAATTCACTATTTTTGGCTTTGGCTTTTCTTTTGGCTTCAATTTCTGCTAATAGTTCCTCGCGGAGGTTGTTAATGAAACTAGCATCCGAGGAGTTATTGATTTCGCCTGTCCAATTGGGTTTGCTTAACTCGCTATCAGTGATTTTTGGTTCTTGATTGAGAGCCTGAGTAAGAGCAGTAATGGCTTCATTGCGAATAGTTGGAAGGTTATTGTTATTTTGATTAGAAGAGTCGTTGTGGTTAAAATTGCTATTGTTGGGATTGCCTGAAGAATTAGATTGATTTGGTTTCTTTTTCAAATCATAAGAATTATTAATAACTTCTGCCACTTTGGCATAATTAATAGTTTGGTCGGCATTTAATTCATTATCGCTGAGAAATCATAAAATATCAGTTTGAAATTTATCCTTAGTTAGACCTTCATATTCATTGATTAAGTCAAGTAATTGACGGTCATTATTATCCAAAGCATTTTGAAAAATAGCGGCAGTTGGGTTGGCAGAACTGCTGTTGTTATTGCTACTATCACTGTTGTTATTTCCAGCCACCACAATTTCAATATCCGAATAATGAGTATTGATAGAAAGGAACTTACCATTTATTTTGGCTTTGTCAGTGGCTAAGTTCACACCTTTAATAATAACTTGGCTATCTTTTTTCAAATCCGGGTTAGTAGAATTAATTCTAATAATTCTTATTTCTCGACCTTGAAAAGTAAAAGGTTCGGTAGTTAAAACTTGAATTCCCGAACTATTAACGGCTGATTTAATAGTAAATTGAGGCGTATCAGCAATTAGTGATTGTGGTGATGAATTAGTAGTAGCATTTTTTTTACTATTTCGACAAATTCTCTGATTAGCAACTGGTCGCCGGTGCCTTCAAAAGAAGCAGTTAAAAAATTAATGCCTTTGAGAATATGTTCGGTTTCGCTTCCACGTTGGTTTATTCAGTCCTGAACTTGAGCCTGCTGGTGGTTGGGAACTTCGCAAATAATT